CTCTTTCTTTCTTTCCCTTATTTTTTTGTATTGTCAGGACCATTTCAGTGGAAGGGTGAATCAAACTGTCAGATGCAAACTTAGACTAGAACATTTAAGAGTTCATGTAAACAGAGTTGATTTATAGTTTAAATATTACCAGTTTGCTGTGTATTGAGCTTCTGATTGTATTCAGAGGCACATATGCTTTTTCCTCCTCTCTCTCACTTTTTTTTTTTTTACTGTCTCCTTGTATTTCACAGATAAACCTGAAAACTGGGATGTATGGTATGAAAGCAAATTTGATGACTGTGATAAAGAAGCTTGTCTGTCCTTCTCGAAAGAGATTCTTTGTGCTCGTGTCACTGTGGACCACAATTATTATGCTATTTGTCAGAACCTTTTATCAAGACATGCCACGTGGCGTGGCACTTCTGGAGGACTACTTCATGACCCCCCAGCTGAAATTGCCAAAGATGGCCGACTTGAGGCCTTGCTGGATGAGTGTGCCAACCCAAAGAAGCGATATGGTAGATTCCAAGCTGCAAAAGAACTGCGTGAATACCTTGCACAATTGAGTAACAATGTGAGGTAGTCCACAGTGAAAATTTTTTGCAACACTGACTAAAACACAATTGCAATGACACGTAGAAAATGAAGTTTTGAACTTACGTATTAAAAAGAGAAAATTAAAAAAAGAAACTAGTTTATCAGTTTTCTAAATACCATAAAAATACTATTTTATGGTGTTATAATGTTCCTTTGCAAACAGAGAAGGTACTTACTGAATTCAAACTTGAGCTACTATTGACTGTCCTCCCTGACTATTTAAAAGGGAGTAGGTCAAAAAAGACTGTGATAGCTTAATTGACAGCTTGTGTGTCAAAGGGTACTTTACATAAAACTGCATTAGTGTCACAGTTTTGTGAAGCTGATGTTTTTACTTGGAAAGTCAAGTTAGACTGATGGCCTGTTTTAAAGGCCTTTTTCCTGACATCATTGTCTCATTTTTGTGTTTGTTTAAACACCTTGAAGTGGCATTTACATACAGGTAAATCTAGCTGTCTGCATTGTTTCAAATTTAACAGGCGTTCATGTTAATGCGGTGCAGTACATTCCTACTGTGAGTGCAGGATTCCCATGTTTACTGTCTAATTTTAGGGGGTTTTACACTGTATTTTACTATGCTTAGACATTGTGTATTTTTTTTAAGATCATCATAAACTCAAATGTCATTTGAACTAACATTCATTTGATGTCTTTTGTAGTTCTGCCATTGGAAATATCACTTAATGTAATTATTGTACAAAACTTTTACCCTTCATGCCAGTATATACACATGACTGTTTAGCAGGAAATCATGGTATGATCAAACTCTTATTTTTAACAGAGATAATTTGAGCATTGGAGAGAGACTACAATGAAAAGATCTGTATTAATTTAAATTGGGGATAGAAGCTTGACTAAAATAAAAACTCACTAGTCCAGTGTAGTTAAGAATAAACCAAAGAAAATGGGTTTGTTTATTAGTTTCTAAGCAAATAGTAAAGAAAAAATGCTATACTGCAGTGAAGCTAGTAATTCTCAGAATTTAAATTTCAGTGGTCCTTGGTTACTCTTTGAAGAACTTCTAAAACTATGTGCTTATACTAGAAGAAAACCCTGATTTGAATAATAAAGTCTAGAAAATTTGCAGTTTGTTTTACATCATTCCCAATTCTGTTGAATTCAAGTGTAATGGTGTTTACTGAATATTCATCTTTTGGTTTACCAGCTAAACTTATTAAGCTGTGTTCACTCTAGACACCTTTTCTTGAACAAAGTTCGACTATTCCCAGTGCAGTTAAAATTGACTTGTTGAGGTTTGTGTAAATCTAGAGTTGTTCTCATAAATTACAGTTTTTATAGAAACCTCAGTTACTGCTACAAGAACTCACTTCAAAGCTTGCTCCTTTTTTTTAACTGCTATAATGCTTCATTTTCCTGAAGTCTTATTCATAAAAAGATACTCTTAGGAAATGTATGCATATTAATGCATATTACTTCTTGTAACAGTAATGAGGGAAACTAATATTTCATAAATGTGTGTATAAATCAATATTTTGTACAAGCTAAAAAGAATTCTGAGCAAGGCAGTATGTGCTACTTTGAAGAGCAAAATTAGAATGCTCATACTGCATCAAAAGACTGATGGAAACTGTTGCTTTACCAGATTGCTGCAAGTGCAAGGTGAGGACATTGCAAACTCACTGACTGGCCCTTCTTTCTCAAAGCTCAAAAAGTGGAGCCATATAAAGATGCGGAGTGCTTTTTGATTTCTTAGATGGACTATGTTAAGGATATTTTAGAATTCGAAATTCTCGCTTTGTCATCTTTGCCTATATAATCCTAATTTGCTCCTAATCCCTTGTCTTGTTTTCTGAAGTTAGAATGCCCAATGCAGCTTTTAATTTTCATTTCTCCCCCCCGCCTCATTTAAAAACTGTTTTACATGCTTGCTGTGGCACAAGCTGTCAGAGAAGGTTCATGTTATTTTTCATCATAAAATGCACTTATTTGAAGAAAGCAGACTAACCCTCAGACTAGGTAATACTACCCTACCATAAAAGCCTTGACTTATCACTAAAGTTGATTTTTAAACATCTACCATGTTTCCCAATGAGCGAGTGGAGTATGATTGTTAAAGTTGTAAGAGAAACAAACACTGCCAGTTCTGGTTACTACTTGAGGCAGTTCTGCTAATATCAGAATGTCGTATCAGATTTGGTTTGGGGTTTAGTTCCCACAGAAATAAGTTACTAAAGCTGATTATAAAAGGAATTTGGAACTTTACCAAAAGAAAAAAAACAAACAAAAAACCCCCCAAAACCAAAACACTACAGGGAAAACATTGTGGAGAGCAATAAATCTTGTTCTGTTTGCACCTATCAGATATTTATTGTACAATAACAATTTATATTTTTAGCCATTGCCCATTATTATTGATGAACACGGTGAAATATTTTTGAATGAGATGTTTGGGGTTTGTATGTGCATTACAATTGTCCTTTTGTACTGTAAGTTACTGTTTGATTGGAATATTTTATCAAAACTGTCTCCCTGTGCCTTTATATTACAAGAAAGTTGTTTCTGCAACTTCTAATGATATTAATAAAGAATACTTTAAGAACCTCATCTCAGATACTCATTTTCAGATCAGTCAGTCTTTTAAGATTGACTTAGTCTAGGATGCATTAAAATATACATAGAACCAGTTTTTGTAGTGTTGCAGAATGCACCGTTGCCAAAAGTGACAGGAACTTTTTTCCCTTCCTTCTTTCTAGTGGACTGTTTGGTCCAAAGTATGAATGATCTGCCAGGAATCTTTTTGTTTTGGAGATTATCATAAGTAGTACTTATTTTCTTAAAAGCAACCTGATCAAGTCATATCTTTCTGTTCTATTAACTGAAAGAAAGTATTTTCAAATTAAACAAGTTGATATATTCTCTCTTTATTGTTTGAGAAACTTATTTTTCCTTGTATTTAGAGTCATTTATATTGCTAGTACCACTGTCTCTTCAGTACAATATTCTAGCAGTTAATGTAATATAAATATATAATAAGTTTTGATGTGTCTTCTTTGGATTTTTCAGTGAGCATTTGCATTGGAAACTAAGTCCTACAGTTACACTAGAGCATATATTCCCTTCTGACTTTCTGAGCCTGTGTAAATAATAGGAACAACTTGTCTCAAAAACACTTGGATTTTTAAATAGTTTTAGTTGCACTCCTGCTGCCTCAACTTACATCTCCAGGACCTGCAAACATGCAGATTGAAACTTGTAAACTTTCCAGTGTGCCTCAGAAGTCAAGACTATTATGGTCTTAAGAAGAAACTAGCATGAGTAACTGCTGCATGTTTTCTTCCAACAGTTTCCAGAGTATCTCATAGTCTGATCCTGGTTGCCTTGAGATTCAAGACATGGTGTATCTGGTACTTTCTCATCGGGTGCTTTTTCATTGTGAGAAATTCCTTTATGAGACACTTCAAATATGTTAAACTTTGTATGCTACTCTGATTTACCACAAACAGTAGGTTAAATGTGATTTTCCTTATATTTATTAGAGTGGAGACCTTGGCTACCTTTAAGAGGCACTTAAATGTTTTGTTTCTCTAGACTCAGTCTAATGTTTTTGTAGAAACCAGCAATGGTACTTTCATGGATTCCTGGTTTTCCGTATGACGTCTGAATTCAGTGCTGACTTCTAAGCTCTTTTGTTAGTTATCTACGTTGTTTGAAACCTGTGATTTGGAGATTAGGATAGACCGGACTGCAAAACCTCTGTAAAAAGCACATGTCTAGTGAGTATCAGAGAAATGTTCCATTAGGGAAGTATATTGCTCAATTTGAAGATTTGGCGTGCAGCCTGCTTAAACCGTTTTTGAAATTCCTCGTGGGTTCTTTCTGTCTTACAGTCCTCCCAAGCCTTTAAAAATCCAGTCCATCAAATGGAAACTTTGTTAGTGTAGACTTCACCTACTTTTTTTTGTTGAAGTTGCAATGTACAGACCTGCTAATTTATTTGATAGCCTTCGTCTGAGTAGTTCAGTCATTATTAGCATCACTGTTATTTCTACTTTAAATGTCTGCCAGGTTTTTGTTTTCTGTTTCCTTACTTCCAGATCATGTTCAAAGATGTACAACTAGTTTAAATAGACCTTTATCTCCTTCTAGTTTCATTTTCGGGTGTTTTAAAGAAACTTTTTCCTGTGCCGATTTGTCATTTTTTTAATGTGACTCTCCAGATCTGACAAGTGTCGGTTTGCCTGGGGTACTTTTAAGCATCAAATTCTTTTTATGTTTCATACTGAGTTTTATAAACACATTTCACTATTTGTCCAGGCAAAAGTCTTTGGTAGTCTGACTTGTACTGTACACTACACTAATGAGCTTTTGCTAGATGCAGGAAGGCCCTGTGGCTGCTTGATGTCTTTGTAAGTGTGCATGTGATGTTAGGACAATGAAGAGTCTGTTGTTTTGGCAGCAGATGAGTCTGATGTTGCCACGCTGGAAGTATGAGAATATACCTGTTTTTTGTGGTTCAAAAGCTAGATAAATTTCAGGAGCATTAGTAATGAACGTGTGCCACAAATACTGACTTGCATGTTCAGGTCAGAGCAGGAAAGTTCTGACTTTAAAAGACAAAATATCTAACACTGTTTTTGATATTTGGTGGGTTAACTCCAGTCTTCTGAGAACAGAAATATGAAAGCAGAATATACTTCAAAGCAAAATAGACTGTTTAATATACAGCTTGTGTTCAGATAGAAAAAAGCATTTTTTTAGGTCAGAGTTTCAAATAGCTTGTCTATTAGTTAAAGAATTTTCACACACCTCTCTATTCTGAACATGATGCTTTTGTGTATCTTAACTTTTACTATAGATTCTAGCTTTTGATTTATTAATGGAGGCTTACTGCATCCATTTAATGTGCCCTTGGTATAACTACAGATTCCCAAATAGATGCCCTGTATCTTTTCCAAGGAATGGGGTTTTCCAAATTTAGTGCATTTTTATTTTTTGCTTTTTTTCCTCCAAAAATAGTTCTGAAACTCCTCAAAATAG